CTCAATTAAGCACGACTAGAAATCCCGTAAAGCCCAGAGGGTCCCTTTCTCGACCCTACGGAGGCCCCCCCCCCCTTCAAAAAGTTAGATCGGGGGGGGGGGGGGGGCCTCCCGCCCTGAGCCCTGGAACATATATAAGTTTAAGTGTACAAGAAGTTTTATCAGTCACAGTCGGCTAAGCAAAATGCGACGAATACAAGAAGGATCACGATGTTATTCTTTCTCAACATTCTTCAGCTTCGGAATTCAGCTAGCGCAAAGAGGCTCGCCCAACCATCGCATGAAAAACTGCATCAGATTAGAAAGTTCTACATGCTTAGCGCCATATATGAATATCTGCATCTTTAGTTTTTTACAACATTTCTAGTGATCTCCGAGTCCGAAATTTTGAGCTCCGGGATCAACTTCAAGCTCACGGATCTCGATCACGTCAGGGATGCCAGGTGCACCGACGCCACGAGGCAGGGGTGACCGATTAGTCAGTGATTAATTATTTGAGATCAATCAAATTAGGATCATATCTAATCTCTTTGATATAATCACTAGTGATCCGTTAACTTGAGTTTTTAATGCAGATCTCCGATTAGAATCTACAACATTTTTAATGCAGAGGAAGCGTGAACCCAGATACGGGGATACACGAGAGCAATAACCAAAACCGATCTTCCTAAAATAGGAAGAGACGCTAATATCGAAGGACCTGAACTCAATCAGAGTCAAGTACTAGCCATAAAAAACGACACAAATGAGAGATCGAGACCACAGCACCAGCCCACCTCCTTGCATTAGCGGCCGTAGAGAGAATCCGTCATGCATCATGCCCTTTTGCTCTTCTTGAAATGTATTTACACTATTCTTGCCTAGCGACTCATTTCAAGGTGGTCAAGCAGAACAGTAACGAGGCAAGGGCAACATGACATACAACAACGCAAGAGTAGTAAACGTGATGCAGAAGTTCCTCTTGCCAACTCTTTTTATCATTTTCATTTTCCACCACACAAAGAGTCTTCTACTTTGGCTTTCTTTCCAAAGGAAAAGCGATTTGGAAAGGATGACGGATGCTATCATTTATATTTACGTGCTGTAGCCTTAAAAGTTTCTGTGTGGCTGCGCTCTTATCCTCAGTGGGTATCTCCTCCCCAATGGGTGTCTCCTCTGGGATTGGCTTTAGATGAGCATGGAAGGTACTACTACTAGTGAGCATGAAAATCTCGAAGATGTGGCATTATCTTCATTGATGTGGTGCCACTACTACAGCTACAGCCACACGATCTTTATAATGACGAGGTCGTGCAACATCAAGTAGTCGAAGTCCTCTTCAAGATCAAGGGGACTACTTGTTATATCTGTGACCATAAGGCTTTTGCTTTAAGTGTCACGCTGACATCCTGCTTGACGAACAAGGTTTTTCCGCCTTTGCTCGCAAACTTAGAACGTGGACAGCGTCGTCATCAATCAGAGCCACTTCTCTAACTACAAGCGGCCTAGAAGTCTTCACAAAGTCAGTGCCAGTGGTGCGACTTCGAGTTCATCGTCTTCCTCTGACTACCTCTGCGTACATCTCTACATCTATATAGGAGCCTACTCACTTGAGGCAAAAGACGTCGCCAATCTTGTAAGTCACTCTAGCAACACTAAGAGTAGAAGTCGCTACGTTTCAGCGACGAGACCCATTTTATAGTACTATGGAGATTAACCAATGAGTATGAATATCTTCTATCACAACTATCTATCACTATCAACACAACTTTTCAAAATATATTATTCAGTAATAGTACTCTGATTAGCCTAATAAGAGGGTCTTCGCGTTTCACTCTCGCCAGCGGCAGAGTTGTCAGTGCGACGCGCACCATGCAGCGCAAAAAGCGCTCGCCTGAAAAAGTAAGCCGCCGAGGATCCCCGCCCGCGGCGCCTTGCTTTGTCACATATCCCCGAGCCCGAACACGACCGGCGGCGCGCCTTCTCACATTGCTCACCCATTGCTCCCCACCTGCGCAGAACACAACATCCGAAACACAAACGCCACACCAATCGCCGCCCGCAATTATCCGGCGACGGGGCGGGCGGGCTGCTGCAGTTGCGCCACCTTGCTTCCCCTACTTACAGCCCCCGCTATGGGCGCGAACAATGAGAGACCACAGCCACACGCAACGAATCAATTTAGCACGGCCCCCCCGCGCACCTTGCTGCCACGACAAAGACCAAGCTGCCAGAATAACCGTAAGACCCCGCGGACGCATCCGCTACCTGGCAAAGAAGCGCCATCCACTACCGGCCGCCCAAGTACGCAGCTGCACGCAAGACAGAGCGGAAGGACAGAGGGGCCGGCTGGTCCCTCTCTCACGCCATTGCTTGGGCCAGCCATCACTTACCACGCACAGCACCCGCACGCACGGCGGGGAAGCTGCGCTGGTCCCCCGCACTGTTGCCGCAATAGCTCCGCCCCCCCCCCGCGTCCGCACGCCGACAAGCCACACCGCCACCTGCCACAAAGCAAAACAATGCCAAACAGCCACGCACAAGACACCGAGGACGGCCTGCGCCCGCCCTCCTAAAGAAGAGCCGGCGCCGCCGCTTCCCCCATCCCCCGATCGAAATGACAAAAAGCGGCCCCCCCCGTCAGTCGGTCTCTCTCTCTTCCTTATCCGAACGAGACAGAGCGCCGACACCCATAGACAGACAAGAAAAGCCTGCCAGGCAGTGCACAGACATGGAGAAACGAGTGGAGCAAAAGCTGCCAAGCCCGACGCGAAACAACCCATGCCACAGCGAACCGACTCAGCCTCACACGCTACGCACCCACGGGCACCCAGGCGAGCGAGTCTCACTTTCAATTTAGTCGACGGGCGCGGGGGGCCGCCGCAGCCAGCCGACAAACAAAAAACAAAGAACGAAAGGCCCACAAAAAAGGACGAAGAGACCAAACAGCAGACACGAGTAGAAGAAAGAGCAGCCGGGGCCCCCAGGAGTCATTCACAAACCCAACACAGCGACAAAGA